TATGTGTATAGAGTAGGGGAGCCAGCTAAAAATACGTGGTGAATAGAAAAGACGAGATGGCCAGAGAGAATCAAGGGAGAGTGGAGCGGATAGTGATTCTCTTCTCTGATTTCTCTTCTCTGATTGATTCCGCCATCTAATGCACTAAGCACTTCCGCGAATATGCATGTGTGTATATGTATATGTATGTCATACACACAATACTAGTGCGGTACAATACTAGTGTACGCAGCACCATGTTTCATCACATTCCTACCATATTTCCAACGGTGCACATGGCGGCTTCCGGGTGCAACCGCTCCACTCTCCTTTGATTCTCTCTGGCCATCCCGTATTCTTTCCTTTTCTACTGTCTAATATTTTCATTTACAGGGACCCCTATGCCTTGCCTATATATACAAGCTCTTTGCTTTTAACATACAAACTGATGTCCACATTTAGGATTGTCTTGAGACCTAGATAACAGAGATGAGACATAGAACGGTATGATCTAATTGGCTGTCTGAATCACGTGATCAGAGCGCCATTTTAATTCACTATTGCATCTAATGCATCAAGATACAACTTTGTATTGTACATACATATAGATTATGTACAGAAAAATTAAGACAATACAAAGTGCAATAGAAAACTATTATTATGGTGTAAGTATTCTTATTTGTGTGAATATTTAGTATCGAACTTAATCTAATCTAATCTTTTCTTGAAATCTATGTCTTGACTTATGATTCTTTAGAGAACTTTTTTTGTGCAGAAAGTGCTGTGTATTTGGCTGTAAAAATGTATACAAAAAAGGGAAACACCAAAAAGAAGAAAATTCATTCCTTTTGTTTCGTTATTTCCTAATAAATTCTGAGATAAGAAATATGAAGATCACTAATGTAAGGCAAATAAATGGATATTCTTGGCAGCCTATTGTCATCAGCTTATAAGATTAGGAGCACTTATACTAAATTAAAATGGCGGTGACTACCTAACCTAATCGACGCAATATCGCATCTCTGTTATCTAGGGCTGCGTTCCGTTTCACGCATGATGCGCATGCTGCATTATTTATCCTTGTTATTCACGATTGTTAAACAAGGATAAATGATGCATCATGCGCATCATTGGCGCATCATGCATGAAACGGAACGCAACTTAGACCTCTAGAGTTGTCATGTCCAATTATTCATATGTCATGACTTAGAAGTGTATTTGATAAAAGATTAGATGTAAAATAAACAAGAATAAACAATATCAATTTAGCTAAAAAAAATAGAATGTTGCATTGTTGAGATACATATATATAGAGTATTATATGACATAATTGAAATAATATATTTTTGATATAAAATAATATGAAAATTCTTATAAACATGAGCTGAAAACGGTTCATCTACAAATGATCACTTTGACTCACTGAGATGCTGTATTTCATTCCTTCAGATTAATTTATATCTGTGAGGTTACATAATTAAGTTAAACTAATAGTATATTAATGATGTGTATAAACAAGAAACAATTATGATATTCTTCGTAATTACTTCAGCTATTTTAGATCGTACTATATGTATTAATATCGAATTTAAATAATTTATATGATCTTTAGGTTTTTTTTCACTTTTTATTTTCAATAAAAAAAGTGCCAGTATGTTATAGTTTAAGTAAACTTTAATGTTTATAGAATTTTTTCTATTTCAATTTTTCTTCTATTTCAATTTACATTTGCGAAATATACTCCTTCGGTTTATATATGTTAATATTCTGTACATAATATTCTGGGGAAGGCTCCGATTGCACACATTACATGTTGCACACATGCATCGCTAATTGGCCAATTTAAAAATAAAATATTTTCATTGATAAAGCAGTGAAAAATTACTAGGCACTAATATGAATGTGCAATCGGGATTGTAGGAAAACGGGATCCTCCCATTCTGCATATATAATTGGTGTATTAAAGCATACCTAATCGAGTGTATTTATGTGTATGTGCGTGTGCGTGTGCGTGCGTGCGTGCGTGCGTGCGTGCGTGCGTGTGTGTGTGTGCGCGCGCATGTGTATGTAAAATTTAAACAAATATGCATATATCGGCAAAAAATATCGTATTTGAGTAAAAAGAGATCAATTATTATATATATTTTTTGAAAAAATTATTAAAGAGTGTAAGTCTATAATATAAGCAAAAAAGAAACAAAAGATACTGAACCTAGAATGGAAAAAGCAATAGAAAAAGTTTAAAGATAACGTGTGTAGAAAAAAATTATCATTTAATAAATATCGGTTCAATAACTTTACATCAATTTTATTATTTCTGAATGTACACATAACTTGATCATTTCTTTTATTCAGAAATTCGGCCAATTATAACCAGAGACTGTGTCAAGCGATTCCAATTTTATTAAAGATTAACAAAATTAGTTTTAAAATTATTTTTCAGCAAATTGTCAAATTGCAGCAATGACATGTCCATTAGAATCGCACTTGCGTTATCCCTACGAATATTTATGAATACTCATATGCCTTGATGAATATCATACAATATTTGATAATTACAAAAATTTGAGTGAGTAAATATTTGTCAAATTTTCAGACATTCCTGTAATATAATATTTTTGTGACAGTACCATCGCAGTAAAAATTATATTATTAGCAGTTTACTGTAAAATTATTTCGAGTGATTTTATTTTGATAAACGTGATAATACATATTATTGCAAATGTTTGTTCATGATATTGCTGTAATACGACTGGAGATTTATGAGCTTATGGACTTCAAATATATCCAATATCATTGGCACGAATGACATATTTATTCTTTGTCATTGCACCAACAGTTTTTTCTCGTTTTTTCCAAACTTCAAATATATATATATATATATGTAAATATGTGTGTGTGTGTGTGTGTGTGTGTGTGTGTGTGTATCTTAAGGGGATTCTAAAGATCATGACGTCGTGACATTTATTTCATATAAAAGCTATGCAATCTGTACTTACGAAAAGACTAATAAAAGTTTGCAGAAGAAACAATGTTTTTAAGTCCGGTTGCACCAACATTACTTTAATTTTAAGCGAGGCTTAAAACTTTCTTTGTCCCTGTCTCTTTTCGGTTTTAAAACAAGAGAGTTTTAAGTTTCGCTTAAAATCAAAATAACATTGGTGGAACCGGGCCTTAAACGTCTAAGTAAAACATTGTTGTTATGCGAAAATTTATGTGTGTGTATGCGTAAGATATTGATGTACTACATACTATTCTATGTAGTATGATGTGTCAGTGACACGTAAAACGTCTGTGTGTAATGGGTCTTTTACAATAAGTCATAAGTTTACATTAGTCATAAGTCAGAAGCTAAAAATTGATGACTATGATTGATCAATTTTCAGCTTCTACCTTCTGATTTATGACTAATGACTTATTATATAATGCCTGTAAGTTCTATTTATACTGTGACTAATTGTCTTTAGGATCTCCTTAAGTACAATATATACTAGTACAGTTACAAATAACAGATCTAATATTACATTGCTGTAAGCAATGTGATTATCAGCTGATGAAGATTGTTACAAAGAAAAAGTAATATCTAATTATTAATACAAGTGCCACTCTTTGTAGATGTAGATCGTTTATACGCAGAGAATCATCTTAAGAACTGTAGACAAGTTATTTAGATGTTAAAAAATACATCTTCCTGTTAAGGCGATAATGGCAGTTGATGGAGAACAACTGTTTGATAGAAATAGTATTCTGAGGATCCAGATTTTTTGTGTGAAATTGGGAAACTCCTTATTCTGAAATATATACGACATATTGCAGCATTCCGTGATTGTGAAAGGAGAAAATTGGAATGAGAGCAAATATATTATCCGATAATAATTTTTATCTTTTTCTTCTAACTATATATTGAATGTATTTATTAAAATAAGTTAATTATCGCTGTCAGCGTAATCAGTATCTCCACTATCATGTCTCGACTGTTGCACATGAATATCCAATGAATTCATCAATGAATTTGAATCTTTGACCATATCCACTGAGTTGTCGATTAAAATATCCACATTTGGTGATAATTTCCAGGAGACAATAGTGTGTAACCTATGAGCAAGCATAATCTCAAATTATATAAAGAATATATCTTTTTATTCCTAAAATTTATTTTTTCAGGCAATATAATTATAAAAAATTGTCATATTTTTCATGGAGTATTAGAAATGATTATAAAAACCACGTGCCAAAAACTACATGAAAACATAAATATTAATCAATATTTAATAATATAAAATAATGTATATAATAAGAACAATAATTAACACTGTCAACAATCGTTTTATCAAACGAATGTGAATAGTCATTTCTGACGTATTTTTACTTGCTGAATATGAATCCGTTGGCAACAATTAACTATCACATAACAATTTTGAGAAAAAAGAAGCCAAAAAACATGATCTCATTTGATGACATTTTTCTCAAAATTGTGACGTGATAGCCAATTTTTGTAAATAAATTCACATTTATTATGCAAAAATAGGAAAATAATTATTCATATTCGTGTATTAAATAACAGTTAAATTTTATTAAATAGTGTACACGAAAAAAAAATTATTTTCAAATTGCTATATCTCAGAAACATCATATAAAAATGAATTAAAATGCATTTTAAAGCTATAAAAATTGATATTTTCATATGGCATTAATGAAATCAATGCAAAAAAAATTAGTTGCCAATGCTACAACGTCTTGAAAACCTTCAAAAAATTGTTTTTGGCCTTGTTAATGGCAGTTGTCTCAAAATTATGACATGATGGGCAACTTTTGCTAACGAATTCATATAACTATTCACAAAGAAAAAGGTCTTTTGTCGGACAATGTAATATACAAAAAACTTTACTCAATCAAAATTTGCAATGTTGGATACTATTTCATTTATCCGTTTTTGTTGTACAACAATTAAGGAATAAAGTTGCAGGAAGAAAAGTTTTCGGATCTCTTTATGTTATAATCAACAAATTTGAAACATTTGTCATATGACATGAACGCACAAATTTAATTTTACTCTATGTATAAAAAATATTAAAATAGTTACAACAAAAAATGTTCTCTAACTGTATTATACTATTCAAGCGAAAAAACATTTGCAAAGTATGTTTTGCTAAGTAAAATGAAATAAATATGAAATAAGCTTAAATATTAATTTAGTATGTTAATTTATATAAATACGTGCATTTTTTCATTATACTATTTTATACTTTACTTACTGAGCTGTAGATGATGGTTACATTTCATCATCACACAGCCTGCAAGAAACGTATTATTACCATTATGATTATAGTACAAAGGAAGAGAGTGGCTATTTTCCAGCTAGAACACAGAGATACTACACTGTTTTACTGTGTAAGATACTTGTAAGAAAGCAATTTAGTTTCATACTGTACATCAGAGCATTGTAGACTTCCATTCTTATTTTTAGTATATTTTGCGTATGAATATAGATTTATGATTTTCATTTAGATTTAAATTATATCTAGTAAATGAAAATGGATTAAAACGAATTGAAATTTTATCTATCCGAATGCGTACTTTTTAAATAGCAAAAACTTTTTTGGATTCAATTAAATTTAATTGAACTCAAATCCAAATATAATTGAATTCAATTAGATTTAAATGCAATCCGTTTAAAAAATTGCATTTCCTATTCAAAAATTTGAATTTAGCAATATTCACGATGCACAGAAAAAGCTGATAAGTATTATTTTTAGATTAAAAGGCATAGAAATGTGCTTCACGCAATTCCAATAAATGAATAAAAATACATTCCGGATTGAAAAGGATTTATTTTAATGCTGTAAGCATATTCTCTGATCTATCAGATCGTGCGCAGGGTC